CACACCCCCTAACAGAAAAACCCAAAAAAAAAAAAAAAAAAAACTAGGTGATAAATGGCAAGAAATACTAAAAAATGAAAAGTTGTAATACAGTAGAGAAATTACATGTGAAAGCACTTTCCTTTGTTTTCTTAAAAAAAGATTTCCCCCCAAAACTTACCATATTCAATTTTATGATATGTAACATTTACTGCAATGAAGATGAAAAAAAGGAAAATCTATGTGGATTCATTTTACTTGTTAAAGATTTATAAATGGATAATAGCAAATGTTTGATTTTGCTACTCACAATATTCATATAAAAACCACGTATGTTAGGGCTGGATGGTAATGCAGCCATAAAACAGGATCCCTCTGCAAGGCAAACCCACATGGGAAGGTTACTGCTTTGTGTCTGGAGACTTCCCTGAGTATTCAAGGCAATGTGTGCCCATGATTCAGGCTTGCTGAAGCCAAGGGTGGGTCACTGTGTCAAGACCCTCTCTCCCTTTCTCTTCATTTCTCTCACTCATGGGATAAACTTCAAAAGAAAAAAAAAGATAATCCTAGGACATATACTTAGGAAAAAAAAATGTATTTTATGCTTTACTTAGTTTAATAAGGATGAATTATATTTTATTAAATTAAATTAGCATATTGCACATTCATATCATCAGATTCAGAGAGGAAAGTCTTGCCATGTGTAGCATATGGTTTTATAAGGATAACAACTAATTTTATCTCAAGAATTTTGTGATATAATTAAAGAGAAGTAAAGGCATTTATTTCTTAAAGACAAGGTTAGCAATGACTCTGGGAAACTGAGTGACTCAGAATCACAGACCATGACTCTTAGCTTCTTGTTGATTTGATTAGTTCCTTAACAAAATAGATTCCATTAATATCAATACTGTTATAATTGAAATGGCTTTAAGAGTATATATTCCTACAAAATAAAGTATCTTCTATCCCTAAACAATGTATTTATCCACTGTGAAATAATAACTGATATTAATTCTATTATTTCTTTTTCCTCAAAAAAAGCAAGAAGTCAAATGCAAATAGATAAATAAATGCCTTATTTACATCCTAAATATCTTTAAGTAGCTTCCATGTTTTAATTGCATATGGTACTTAAGATGACACACTTCCATTCTTGGTCATTCTTTTTATCTTCCTGTAAACTACCTTGGCTTCTGATTTGAGTCATAAATTAACTGACAGCCTTTTGTCACAGAAAACCTTACTCTGTAAAATAGGTATGATCTTGGTGATTATGTTTCTTCATGCAAGAAACCAAATACAGTCCTGTGTCACATAACATTTCAGTCAGAGACAGACTGCACGTACCACAGCAGAGCACTAGGCTAGCCTGCCAGCCTAGGTGTGTAGGTAGCTATACAATCCAGGTTTCTGTGTAAGTATGCCCTTCGAGTCTGTACAATGAAAAAAATCCCCGGACAACATATTGCTCAGAACATATCTCATCATTAAGCGATGTGTGAATATGTATTATGTGCTTTCTTTTCAGTTCAGAGCTAAGTAATAGTTTTAAGATTCATTAGTCCAGGGACCAGCAGTTAGCGTAATGGCTATGTCACTGGACTCCCATGTAGTTTGCGGTTCGAGTCCCGGACCCAGTGGCTTAAACTCACGTTGGACATGTGTGCATGCATGGCCAAGATCTGAGAGGAAAATGGAGGAGAAGGGATGTGGCATGGCCATCCCCACTCTGGGGGGTGATTTCTTGCTTTCTGTCTCTGTCTCTCTATCTTTCTGGCAAGCGCATGCACCCTATAGCAAAAAAGCCCCTCAAAAAAAAAAAAAGATTCATCATTCCAGATCAACATAATTTAAAAGTACCCAAGAAAATTAAATTCCCTTTATCATCCTTTATCTTTTCCAAGCTAAATCATGTTTTTTAGATGTGGAAAAAAAAATCTCTTATATTTACAAAACATGAGGTTACTAATATACATTTACCTAAACACTGTTCTAAGGAAATCCAAAACATAGATAAAGCACACCAATTAATTTTAAAACTCCACTGCTAAACAAAAGACTAACGTACATATTGACTGTTAAGAATAATGTTGCATTACCTTATATCAATATAAAAACTTTCACTGTTGGGCCAGCTGCAGTGGTATGGTGGGAATGCAGTGCCTTGCAGGGCTGGACTCACACTAGGAAGTTCCAGGTATATGTTCTGAGATGTCCCTGTGCATGTAAGGGGTGCACCCATTGGTGCCTGTGGTCCTAGCTGAGGCTGGGAGTGGATTATGGCATGAGGACTCTGTTGGGGGGTGCCTGTCTTTCTCTCCTGCGCCCTCTCATGGGAGAAGTAATTAGTAATCTTAAGAAAAAAATCTCTGGGCTTCAGAGACTCAACAAAAACAAAAAGCAAATACTGTTCTTGCTAATTTGAAAAAAAATGTTTTAACGGCCTGAATAAATTCAATGACGATATATCCTAGAGTCCTTTTTTTTTTTTTTCTAGTTTTTTTCTGATATAGGGTATACGCACTCACCAGAAAAGGAGAGAAAAAGAACACGAGAAATCAGCCCCCACACCCCAAGGAAGAGAGCCATGCTGCAATCCCTCCTTCTCCATCCTCCTCCCAGGATTTTGGGCACGTGCACACGTGTGCCTGGGGTGACTTTCCAAGCTGCCAGGTCTTGGCGTTGAACTGTGTTGTCAGTCATGTGGGATCCAGCACCTTAACTTTCACACCATCTGGTGCCCCTCTGTAGTTCTTAACATAAACTTTTTGAGCTCTCTTAGAGACCTTTTGAGATCTCTTAGAGCATTTAAGACCAAAAATGATAGGAAAGTGAGTTGGGATATTCCAGTTTCTGTGTGGCATGCTTTATTTAAAAAGAAGCCTTGGTGTTTCCATATATGTAATGCTGTTTCTTCAGGCAAAGGCATTGGCCTCCCCAATTGGCTTTCCTGGCTCTCTCTCCAATAACTCTTTGAATTCCCCTTCTTTGCTTATTCCATAGCGCCCCCCCCGCCCCCATCCCTGACACTCTCACTATAAGTCTTCCTAGTCTGTTTATCACTCAGCTCCTGCAATTCTCATGTCTTCCATCTTCTCTTTACTACCTGCCCACCCTCCTCCCCTCCAGTCTCCTGAATTGCTGCAAATACACACATAACTACCATACCTACTTTCTCCAAAAAGAGAGCAAAGACCTGGCAGGAAAAGCCCTCTGAAATAGATTCCTTAATTGGTGAATGAGAGAGTTAGAACCAGGTAAGGCCGCCCCTGCTGGGTATGTGGGCAAATAAGTTAAAACTGCTCTAACTAGACTTTTGGTCGGAAGCTGCCCAGAAGCTGTGGTCCTAAACCTTTTCAAGACAGCTAAAGAGGTCAGAAAAGTACAGCTTTACAATGGAGATGGCATACTGGAGAAGGCTGCCCCAGAGGCCATCCCGCAAAAGGGACTACAGTCAAAGGACCCAGTACAGATGGTGGAATGAAGTTTTGGTATTTAAAAAAATGTGAGATCAGGATGATGATTCAGTTATTCAATGTATAATTATTAAAACACTTCTTGAATAACATTGTTCTTTGCCAGTTATTCCCTTCATTGACATTCTGAACACCCTTTTCTATATTTCATTCTTCTGTACCTCCACAGTCACAAATCTAAAGAAATTGACCGTGACTTAGTACAGCTTCTACACAAGAACTATTTTTACTCTAGAAAATTTTCTAAACGAGGAGACATGAATCCAATAGCGAAACTGATACATCACCATACACCAAAATCTTTTGATGAAGCTAAAGATGATCAGAATTTTTTTATAATGAAAAAATTATAGCTACAATCAACAAAGAAGCAAAAAGTTACTCATAAAATACCTCTTTTGGTGATAAATAAGAAGTGGCATTATCTGAAGATGAAGATGCAGGATTTAGAGAATATCTGGAAGTGGCTTACATGTATCTCTTCACCATTCCTCAGCTAATATAGGATCAGAAGCAGCCTTTCAAAAGAAGAGCTGGAAAATTTGCACCGAGATCTGCTGACTAAATTACGGTATTTCCAATGAACCGTGCCTTGTAAGATTACACTAAAATAAATCCACTACTATTTCTTTCCATTTTTTGTGTTTACTAGGTTATCTCCATTGTCTGTTGTGCTTAGTTTACTTTTGATTCTAACAACTTATATTCTAGATTATGTGTTTAACCCTTATACATTTTTCTTTCTTTCTTTTCTATTGCCAGAGGGTGTGTGTGCTTGCCAGAGAGAACAAGCAAACCCCAATGAGGCATGGTCATGTGCAATCCCTTCTCCTCTATTTCTCTTGCCCGTCAGAATTTTGGGTATGCATACACAGATACCTGGTATACTTTTCTTTCTTTTTTTTCTGGAGAGATTTTCACTGTAGGGTGCGTGCGCTTGCCAGACAGAGAGAGAGAGACATAGAGACAGAAAGCGAGAAATCACCCCCCAGGGGGGATGGTCACGCCGCAATCCCTTCTCCTCCATTCTCCTCTCGGGATCTTGGGCATGCACACACACGCGCCCGGCGTGAGTTTTAAGCCACCGGGTCTGGGACGCGACCCGCGGTGAACTATGTGGGAGTCCAGCGACATAGCCATTACGCTAACTGCTGGTTCCCCCTGGTATACTTTTCAAGCTACCGGGTCTGAGATTTGAATTGCAGTAAGCCACATGGAATCCAGTTCTCAATGCACAGTGCTTAATCACTGTACTACCGGACTGGCCATAACCTTTATATTTTTAAAAATCTGTTTTTATTTGATATTTCTAACATATTTATAAGCTATAATGCTTGAAATTATTTAGTTGCACTGATTTCTTTTAAAGTAGTACTTAAACACTCTGTTGGGGGGGGTCAGGAGGTGGTGTGGTGGTTGGGGCGCTGGATTTCCACATGGTCAACCATGGTTCAAGTCCCGGACCTAGAGGCTTATTTTCTCGCTTTCCCTTTCTCTCTCTCTTTGTCTGGTCAAATAAAAAAAAAATAAAAACAAATAGAATTAATTAAATAATTCTTTAAAACAAAAAAGACTCCATTTGGAAATTATGGAATTAGACCAAATGCTATGATCAGTTGCCATATATTAATACCATATTAATTTTGTAAACATTTGGTAAATGAAAGACTGAAATACCAATTATTTCCTTTTCATCAAACATTAAGACTTAGGTTGTCTCAGACTATTTAGCAAAAGACATTGGGACATGATTAGTTTTTCTGGCGAAGATGAGCCTGAAGGCTTTGTGGATAGGTAAGGAGACTAAATATGAGTGAGGTGATAGAGAAACTTCCCTTCCAATCTTCAGCTCTCGGCGAGCTCCTACTGTAAACCTTACCCTACATTACTAGTGGCCAAAACAAGGCTTGTGAGAAGTGAAGCAAATGTGGGCTAAAGGATAGGAGTTTTAGCAATGGTTTACGACAGTATTCTACAACTCACTGTCCACTGTAGCCAAAACATATAAAGGAAATAGGGAAGTAAGTATATCTACATACATTAGCAACTACCAAGCTTTAGTGAAAAGGATGTATCTAGGAACAGTTTCAGAACAGATGAAAATTAGCAAAGAAATGCAAACTAGGGTCAGGATTATCTTAGAAGATTGAGACCAGCATAGAGACCTCACCTAAAGCCAAGAACATCCAAAGAGAGAAAGACAGAGAGAGCTCAGAGACCAAGTCAATAACTTCCAGTTTGTGAAAAATTTAACGGGCTGGCAGGTGGCTTGGTAGTTAAGGTACTGGTCCCACATGGCCAAATGTGGTTCGAGTCCTGGACCTGGTAGCTTACTTTCTCTCTGTCTCTCATTGGTGAGCACATGTACCCTATAACAAATTAAAAAATAATAATAATAAATAAAATTAAATAATTCTTTTAAAAACCTAGTCAAGCACCTGTGTAACCAACAGTGAGCTAGGTGTTAGAGCAAGGTCTCAGTCTGAGGTGGCATCTATCATCATTATCTTTATTAAGCAAGAAAGTTTCTGGTCAGGATTCTAATAATTGCCTATTCAACTTACCTGGGATCACTGGAACAGTTAAAAGTGCCTGTGCGTATTCCAAATCTTGACACCTTTTTCACCATTTTCTCCCAGTGAATTTTACCCACCAAGGGACTTCTGTCATTTGCTATGACCTATTCCCCAAAAACAAAACAAAACAAAGAAACTGTAATGATCTTAGTGACCTAAAACAGAGTCAAACCACACATTTATATCTACAATATAATTTCACTTTTTTGAAAAAAGACATTCTCTTCCTAGTTCTTGTTTACTGTCTTATCATATTACCATTGCAGTTCTTCTAGAAGGAGTAACCGTCCAACTGGAAAGGACTTAACACACTGAACACAGTACATTAAACTCCCACACACGGAGGCAGTTCCATAGAGGGGTAGTCAAAACCGTTAGGAAAAGCAAGCCAGGTCCTCTACCATGTGGCCTCTCGTCTAGAATTAAGTTACACAGGAAGCAAATGGTCCTTGCAGTCACTGCTCTTCGCTTTGAAAATTTTAAATAATCTAAATAAAGCTTACTAAAAATTATCACATGTGGGTTCAACAAGTTCAGATTTCACTTTTTTCCAAGTATAATTATGGAGCCAAGAGTCAAACACATGTTCTCTATTAAGCTATACTTTCACTAAGTCATACCACTTCTTCAGGATAGCTTTTTCTTTAACAGTCACAAAAGGCTCTAACATACAAAAAGAATCACCATAACTAATTTTAGTGTTAAATTTCAACTTCATAAATAGTTTTCAAACACAATTAGAATTGGGAGACAAAAAAAATTTTTTAAAAGAAAGAAAGAATAAATTAGCCTTCAAAATATGTAATTACTTCTTTTATTTATAAATGTTAGCCATTCTATCTGTTAACACCTTTTTTCTTTATCCCCTAAACTTCTTTCCTCGAATGAAGGCAGAATTTTGATGAAGATACCAGTAAAAAAACCCTAAAAATATTGAAAACAAAAACACAAAAATAACTAAAGGAGAACTTAGAGCCAGCCAAAAATGTCTAAAGTCATCATGAAACCATCTGTTTGATTTATTTTAAGTCTAGGTTACAGGCCAAGTTTCTGTTACAAATGCTGTATTACTGATAGTATTCAATTCTAAATTACAACACATTACTCTGGGGGCCTCTAATCTTTCTGGGAGGAAAGACCATTTTCATGTTCACAAAGCCTCCAGGAAGTGAAGTTCCAGGTGGGTGTGTGAAATGTGTGCCAACAGTCAACTCCCTGGGAAGGGCAAGAGTTACCTCATCTGTGGTCTCCCTACTAGAAAGTCTAACAAATGACAGAGGGCAGCAGAAGCAGACAGAAAGCATGGTGACACAAGTGACCTGATGTGTGCCAACAGATTACTGTCCAGTGGCCCCTGCAATGTACCATGACACTATGACCATAGTTACAGAGGCATACATGTGTATTGAACATCTTGTGACAAAACTTTGATGTTTAATAAATACACAAATACATGAGGGTATTAAGCAAATGCTTTTGGCAGTATTTTTCCATAAAAATAAATGGCGGGGGAACCAGCAGTTAGTGTAATGGCTATGTCGCTGGACTCCCACGTAGTCGACCACAGTTCACGTCCCGGACCCGGTGACTTAAAACCCACGCCAGGCCCGTGTGCGTGCGTGCCCAAGATCCCGAGAGGAGAATGGAGGAGAAGGGATTGCAGCGTGACCATCCCCCCTGGGGGGTGATTTCTCGCTTTCTGTCTCTATGTCTGTCTCTGTCTGTCTGGCGAGTGCACACGCCCTACAGTGAAAATCTCTCAAAAAAAAAAAAAAATGGCAGGAACCAGCAGTTAACACAGTTGGGAGCAAACTGGAATTCAGTGCTAAAAGCTACATGGTTAACTGCAGGTTCAGATCCCCAGGTTGGCCTGAAAATTTGCCAGGCATGTGTGCCAATGACTGTGACAAGCTGGAGGCCTGGGGAAAGGGCTGGCAATGTGATAACAGGATGCTTTTCTCTCTCTTTCTCTCATATGTGCACACTCGTTCTCTGTCCTGTAGAAAACTAATTTTTTTAAAAAAGCAAGTGCTTTTCTTAACTCTAGATGCTATAATCTACAGTTTACGCTTGTGTTTCACGTTATCACAAACCATCTGTATCATAATACAGTACAGTCATCTGAAAGTCAAAAGTAAAATCTCTCCGAAAAAAAAAAAAAAAATGGCGTTACTATTTTCTTCAATTGCCAGACAGCACGTATGCTCTGGGGGAGGAGAGAGAAAAAGCGGCCCTCGGTGTGGCATGGCCGAGCCCTAACTCCTTTGTCTCCACCTCCCCATCCTTTAGGGATCTAGGCATGCACATATACACTCTGGTGTTTTTCAAACCACCAGCTAGTACTCAAACTGTGACTGGTCATGTAGGATCTATCTCCCAAGGCACCACACTCAACCACTATGCTACCAGGTCTTAACGAATTCTTCTATGAGACCTTACTTAAATATTGGAATGGATAAGGTAACCAGAAGAGGGCTATTTGAGGACATGGTCTTAGTGGGTAAATGCTCTTTCTAAGGAGGTTCACACCATTCACACTACCCAACAGGTCCCCAGCATTCTTATTTTTCTACAGTACAACAGTACTTTAGAAGTTTTGCCTGAAGAATCAGGAAGATCAACCAAGGTAGGCTTCTATTTATTCACTTTTTCTTTGACACCACTAAAAGTTCAATATGGTAGTTCTTTTAGTCAAGTAATCAAAATATCTTGAACTTATTTTTCAGATTTCTCAGGAGGATTAAGAGGTTTCTGTACAATCATATCACTATCTCCCCCTGCTCTTTGCCCTCATTTTTTTAAAAAAATCCCCTTTTTAGACCTTTTCCCATTTCCTGATCAAGGCTGCAAATAATTCAAGTATTTCAGGCTTGTGTTTATAGTAACATTGCTTCAAGGAATTAAGAGGTTGCCTTGGTTTATGTAAATATAGCCCTAAGTCTAGAGGCATCTTTCAGTGAGAATCCTGTCCACTGCACAGGTATCGTTCATACTTATCATTAAGAGTCTTAAAATTGAGAAAGAGGGAAAAAAAAGAGACGGTCGTCCCCAGACACCTCTTGGTCCAGCAGAGACAGCAGAAGTGAGTGAAAAGCTGAGAACATTCCTGGGCAGGTACATGACAATTTTCAGTCCCAGGGCCTTATTATTGAGCAACTGTTCAAGCATCTTTTTAGAGAATTTAAGGATCCCTGACAGAGAGTTACACAAAAATGAAAAATCCTCCAGTGTATCATGAAAGCATTTTATATAACCCAATAGCTAGATCTATGCAATTAAAAAATTGCTTTGCCCAATGTCCTATATAGTTAATGTTATTCAACTAAAGGCTTAGCGTAAATTCAATATGGTAGAGGTTGAAGTAAACAAACACTACAAAAATGTTAATATTTTCACAAAGAAACTTATTTGATTGGGTCACACAGCACAAGATACTAGCAGCTGTGTTATGCAATAAGAGTTCCCAATTTATAGCTCCCATGTAAAAAAGCACTCAATGATTCTGGGTGGAATCCACACTGCTGGTCTCATTAAAAGGGGTGACATCCTTAGCAGTTCAGGATGAAGGCTGAATTCTCTGCGGGGAATATTTTCAGAGACTAGGAAAATACTGGACTCAAGTACAGCTTTAGTTTCAGGTCTGGAACAGATTTGACAACACAGGATAGAAGTGAAGCAATCTTTCCATCCTCCCTCCCAGGGTCTCTGTGTCTCTAACTGGCATCCCTACTCTTGCTTACTGTTGTGCTCCTTGCACCTATCTAATCTGGGTACTCATTAAGTATTTACTCAAAGTAAGCTATTTCAACTTTTTACAGTTTAGTAACTTATTTTTCTACTTCTAATTTCATAGACTGTCTAAAGACGATGACTCCGAGTTCTTGATTTCTGTTACAATGGAAGTTCCTGTCCAGAAACTTGTCACCAGGAATATCTTCTGGACAAACAGCAGCATAAACAGCACCTTATTATGCAACTGCACATTATCATACTTGACCTCAGCCAGATACAAAGATATCCAACAGCAGATTTTAAAATATGCTTTGCCTATATTTTAGAGGTGGGGTTTATAACTGATTAGAACATTTGGCATATCTCTTTAAATATTGTAAATCTCCACATAACAACATACAGGTTTAATTAAATTATGTAATTCCTTGGAACAACAAGGGTACTGTGCTATATTTTCTACATTTCTAAGTATTTCATTGTAACAGGAAACCTCTACTTTCAAAATCATAAACCAATCTAAGAATATATATGCAAACTGCATAAAGTCATTAAAAGTGAGGACAAGTGATTGACACAAACAAAACTCAGTGTATTTTAATTTTTTTCCTGGTATTCTCATTAGCGTAAAGACAAAAATTTTCCACTAACATAAAGTACAGGATAAAAGAGCTTGCCATGTATTTTGCCTCCAGAGTAGTGTCACATAATGGATAAGTATGTTAGAATCTCTCTGAATAAAACTATTATTTAGAAGCAAAGATAAACAAGTTTAAAATCAGCCATTAACTATTTTCAGCCAAGCAGGATATACATTGACATAATAGTTCAGTAAATATTGACCCAAATGTTAACTTCAAATCATATGCTTTTTACTGCTTTAATTGACTTTAAATTCCTTATGACATAACATATCTAGAAGGGAACAAATATATTCTTCTTTGAACCATGACAGAAGTCAAAATAGAAATAGAAATAGTAGGAGAATCAATAAAATCCATAAATTATGCTAACTTTTCTATTTCAGAAGCCTATCTACTGTAACATCTGCCTCTCTAACCAAGCTTTTCAAAGAAAAGCACCTTCTACTTGTGTTTTTTAAAGAATTATTTATTTAAATTTATCATTATTATTAATTTGCTATAGGGCATATGAGCTCACCAGAGAGAGAGAGAGAAAGCAAGTTGCCAGATCTGGAACTTGAACCATTGTTGGCCTTGGGGGAGTCCAGTGTCTTAACCACCATGCCTCTTACTTCCCCTAACCTTCTATCTGTGTTGCCAAGAAAAAGACTATGGTGGCAGAATCAAAAAATTCCAAAAACCTTAAAGTAAATAAGTAACCAAAGATACCAGCTTAGGTTAGGAACAAAATGGGAAAACTCAAAATGATAGAACTATCTGACAAAAAAGACAACTTCGTTCTTCATGGATTACATGGTAATCGTTGGTAAAAATGTTATATGTATGCCACTATCTTGAAAATGAATATTATTGCCAGCCAGTCATGTGGTGGTTAAGGTGCTGGACGCCACATGGTTGACTTCATTGTTCGAGTCCTGGGTCCTGTGGCCTGAGAAATATACTGGGTGTGTGTGCAAAATTCTAAGAGAAGAATGAAAAAGGAATGTAGCATGGCCATCCCCTGGTGTGGGGGGTGATTTCTCACTTTCCTTCTCTTTCTTTTTCCTTCTCTCTGGCAAGTGCACGTGCCCTACAGCAAATCAAAAAAAAAAAAAAAAAAAAAAAAAAAAAAATAGAAGAAGAAAAAAGAAAACAAAAATTAGTTCTACTTACTGCCTCACATTATAGAGAAGATAGGATAGCTACAGCTTGTACGCATCTTTAACTATTAATACAAAATTAGACTAAAAAAAAGGGCAAATTAGTCACTTTTTTTTTTTTCAGAGGTTTTTGCTATAGGGTGTGTGCACTTGCCAGAAAGACAGAAAGAGACAGAGAGACAAAAAGCGAGAAATCACCCCCGGGGGCGCGGGGGGGATGGCCACACCGCAATCTCTTCTCCATTCTCCTCTCACGCCTGGCATGAGTTTAAGCCACCAGATCCAGGACTTGAACTGCAATTGACTACATGGGAGTCCAGTGACATAACCATTACGCCAACTGCTGGTCCCAGTCACTTTCTTTTAAAATAAATAGAATGAAAAGAACAATAAATTCAAATTGTTAAAAACTGAATTCTTGAAGGTTATTCTTTATAAAAGACTGAATTATTATGATCTAAGCTGAAGGAATGTCATCCAACTGAGTTTTTCTGTTTCTAGCAGATATTTCGGTTTTAAATATAGTTAAAGGCGGGGGGGGGGGGGGCGGTGGGATGGTGGTTAAGGCACTGGACATTCCCACACGGCTGACCACGTTTTGAATCCCGGAGCTGGTAGCTTGCTTTCTCATTTTCCCTCTCTCTCTCTCAGTCTGTCTCTCTCTGGTCAAATTACAATAAATGAATAAATAAAAATAAACAATTCTTTAAAAATAGAGGCATAGTTAAGGGAAAAACAAAACAAAAAGACAAACCCCAATCTTCTAGGAAGAGCTTACACCATGGTGTCTGTGCTGATTAGCTTAGCTGGTTAGCTCAGTGCCAAGAACAGGGTTTCAATCTGACTCTTCTCAGTTGTCCTGCCAGGAGACTATTCTTCCAGACCAACCCAGCCATTTGTCAGATCTAAGTCACTGGCCCCAAAGAACATAAGCCAGATACTGGTGATCAGTGCAAACTTTGGGTGTCACTGGGAAAATTGTGTCCTATCATACCATTTTGTACACAGAAAATCATATAATACACTCCATTTTTCTTAGGAGTCATCTTTCGACTATTTATGCCTCTGAGACTTACAAATATTTTGAGAGAAGAATGAATTTAGCAACTAGAATTTATAATGTTAGCATTAATTATCATTAATTGTTCCTTTGAGTCAAGTGTCACCTTAGAGAATTCCTTGCCATTCTGTCTCTTCTGCCTATTTTCCTTCTTAGTACTTTCCACTAACTGGTAGAATATCAAATACTTATTTATTTGGTTATCTGCCTCTCCCAATGGGAATGTGAGCTTCCTGAAAGAAGGTCTTGACCTGGTGTGTTTTCCAGGTTTATCTTCAGGGCCCACAACGGGACCCTGAGAACCACGTACCTGGCTGAGTAAACTGTGTGATAAATTTTGTCAAACGTCAGAAAATTTAATTCATGGATAACTTTAATAGGACATTCAAAAATAGATTATTTTTAAGCTCGGAACCTACTGCTACTGAACCAGAATATGCTTACTGTTTATAGGTAGTATCCACATTCCAAAAGAACTTCTAGACTTTTAACATGGCTCTTCCAAATTTCAGCATCTTCACCATTTATTTCCATGAGGTCAGACACCATGAGTGACATTTAGCCCCTGAACACAAGAAAGTGGGACTGCCTACTTAATTAAATCTCAGGAATAACGTAAAATTATCAAAATCAATAAATCTTCCTCAATCATGCTGGTTAGAATATCAAGAGAAAGAAATGGAGTAACAACTTACTAATAAGTTAAAGCTTTTAAAGATGCTCCAGTTTCTTTTCTTTTCTTTTCTTTTTTTTTTTTTTTTTGTCTTAAGTTTTTGCTACAGAGCATGTGTGCACTTCCCAGAGAGAGAGAGGGAAAGTAAAGAAATCACACCCGGGGGGATGGCCACACCTGAATCCTTTCTACTCCATTCTCCTCCTAGGATTTTGGGCATGCATACACACACACGTATCCAGTGTGATTTTCCAGCCACTGGATCTGAGACTTGAACTGTGAAGTCAGTTATGTGAGAGATCCAGTCACCATGCCACCAGCTGGCCCACTACAATCTATTTTTCAATACCAACTAACTAACAAACAGAATTAGAATAATTCTGGGACCAGCAGTTAGCGTAATGGCTATGTCGCTGGACTCCCATGTAGTTGACTGCGGTTTGAGTCCCGGACTTGGTGGCTTAAACTCACACCAGGAACGTGTGCGTGCTTGCCCAAGATCCCGAGGAGAATGGAGGAGAAGGGATGTGGCCATCCACCCTGGGGGGTGATTTCTCGCTTTCTATCTCTCTGTTTCTCTGTCTGGCGAGCACATGTGCCCTGTAGCAAAAACCTCTCCAAAAAAAAAAAAAAAAAAAAGAATTAGAATAATTCTAGAACTAATAGAAATAGAATTAGAAGGAGATGCTATATAGACTGACCCTATACCCTCCCAGATTCTTCTTTTGCTGAATTTAAAAATTACTGAATTATCAATAGAGTATCTGCAGGGTAAAAGGCCACATGCAGCAGGAAGTTTACAATAAAGGAAAGGCCATGGATACCCAATGTAATCTTCCTACGAATTCCCAAACCACAATCCTTTAGCATAATGGGCTGTAGTATTATTCCATCTTCAGATGAAAATAAATATTTGAGGCCACATGCAATAGAAAAATGTATCCATAATCATACTGTCAGTGAGTAATAGGTATCAGACCTATAACTAAGGTTTCAGAACATTCTGTAGTTTTGTTCTCAGAAAGAAATATGAAGAAGTCTCTTTTTTTTAGAGAGAGATTTTTGCTACAGGGCATGTGCACTCGCCAGAGTGAGAAATCACCCCCCAAAGGGGATAGCCACGCTGCAATCCCTCCTCTCCATTCTCCTCTCAGAATTTTGGGCATGCATATGTGTCCAGTATGAGTTTTAAGTCTCCAGGTCTGAGACTTGAACCTCAGACAACTACATGGGAGTCCAGTGACATAACTATTATGCCATCTGCTGGTCCCTGAAGAAACTATTTTAAATTTTGATATTCTGAATCAAACTTTGCCAGCTCCAGTATGATATGACAAGAGCAACAGATGGAAAATCAGGGGACATGGGATTTAATACACACACACACACACACACATATATATATATATACACACACACACACAAACACACATATATATATATATATTCAATATATCTTGTCCCACGATCTTGTGCAAGCAACTTCACCTCTCAGACCCTTAGAATGGGTTAGACTCATATGCCTTCTAAGCTTCAAGCCATTCATAGACTGCATTCATAAATATAATAATATTCATGCTATTTACTTTTATTTTATGTTAAGTGAGTGAGTTCACAGTTTTAAACACTGAACTAACTTATCCTTGTAATAAGCAATAATCCATGGAATTATGTACTCGATATAATATAGATTTTTCTAATTTACATTAAAATATAAATGATGTATGCCCCTTAATGTACCATAAGCCACACTTTGGGAAGCATAAAAGGTGATTTTTATTTAAGACCATACATAGTCCTAAAATTTTATTATGTTAATTAAATTTCAGGTTTTTATCTTTATTTTATAGTTTTCTATAGGGCACATGCATTTGCTAGAGAGAGACAGAGAGAGATAAAGAGAGAGAAAGTGAGAAATCACCCCCCCTTGAAGGTTGACCACATCATGATCCTTTCTCCTCTCCTCTCCTCTCAGGATTTTTGGCATGCACGTACACACGCCTGGCAAGACTTTCAAGCCTCCAGTCTGGAACTCGAACTTAACAGCCAGCCATGTAGGATCCAGCTGCTTTAAACCTCCATGCCACCAGCTAGCTCAGCTTTGCTATCAATAAAAACTAAAGTTAAAAACTATAATCTCAGGGGCCAGCAGGTGGCATGGTAGTTAGGGTGCTGCTGGACTCCCACATAGCTGATGACATTTTGAGTCCTGGACCCGGAGGCTTGCTTTCTTACTTCCTCTGTCCCTCTCTAGTGAGTGCATGTGCCCTATAGCAAATTAAAATAATAATAAATAAAAATTAAATAATTATTTTAAAAGTATATATAAAATCTTATCACTGTAAGCAAAGTAACAAGCCCTGCCCCGTTATTCCTCACAAAAGCTCGTTATAGTTACAAAGTTATCTATATCCCTAATAAAAGCATTCCTTTACTTTTACTTTAAGCTTCTTCCTTTAGATACAAAAAACTACTTAGATTACTAACGTCAAAACTGGAATTAGTAAGAATTGAGAGAAATAGTGTGAATCACTAAATAAAAGGAATATTTGATGAGTATGTTTCTCACTTCAGTGAAGATCTAGCACCTAACCAATGTCGACTTTCTTTCCCAACTTTCCCTTTCCTATTCTTCAATTTTCATTTTCTTCGGGCTGCAAAACCTGTCTAAGAGGACACTAGAGCCTTCCTGTGCGAACTGAGTTATGTCTAAGAAACCTGACACAACAGAGAAGTGTCCTTGGCTGCTATACACTATTTTGATAAGCATAATTGCTCTATTTAAAGTCCTCAAACTATTAAGAACGACCACTGCTTCTGATACCTGAACCAGCCAGATGCCATCTTTCGTGTCTTCTACAAGCTCATAGAAGTGCATTTCACCACTGAAATTGGTGCTAGAAACAGATTCAGATGCTTCTTCCTCCTTGAGCGCAGAATAGAGTTCACCCTCCATCAAGTCGCCTGGAGAAAAAAAAAAACACTGGTAAGATTTCAAAATCCCATGTTTCCAACTACAATGATTAATTCCGTTTTATACACTTACAAATCATGTTATTATATTTTCACTGCATTCTACAGAAAACAATCTGAATATACTCATTTAAAATTCATACATTCAATAAGTATGTACCAATAAGAACATACTATGTTTCAGGCGAAAGTGAACAATGACAAAAAGCCATCTCTTATAGAAAAGAGCTTATATTCTAGAGGGCTCACGACGTAATATTATGAAATTACTGAATTTGTACCAGCCCAAAAAGCCATCACAATATTACTGTGTGTATGACATATGCAGGCTTCATTTTTTTTTTGAGAGGTTTTCGCTATAGGGCGTGTGTACTCGCCAAACAGACAGAGAGAGACAGAGAGACAGAAAGCGAGAAATCACCCCCCAGGGGGGATGGTCACGCCGCAATCCCTTCTCCTCCATTCTCCTCTCGGGATCTTGGGCACGCACGCACATGCGCCCGGCGTGGGTTTTAAGCCACCAGGACCGGGATGCGAACCGTGGTCGACTACGTGGGAGTCCAGTGACATAGCCATCACGCTAACTGCTGGTTCCCTGCAGGCTTCATTTTTAAACACTACGTTTTAGATGCTTCTGACTTAAAAGTGGGTTCCCAGAATTGGCCATTAGCCCTGTTTAAAACAGCAACAGGGTTTACATGACTTGGAGGTTAGAACTTTATTAGAACAAACTGCACATTCATTCATAAATTTAGACCTTGAATTTTCAAGTAGAAAAGAAAACACTGTCAAATTACTTTGACTTGTGGGAACCAGCAGTTAGTAATGGCTATGTTGGTGGACTCCCACGTAGTTGACCACGGTTCATGTCCCGGACCTGGTGGCTTAAAACTCACACCAGGCACGTGTGCGTGCGTGCCCAGGATCCCGAGAGGAGAATGGAGGAGAAGGGATTGCGGCGTGACCATCCCATCTGGGGGGGTGATTTCTCACCTTCTGTCTCTCTGTCTCTCTCTGTCTGGCGAACGCACACGCCCTATAGCAAAAAAATCTCTCCAAAAAAAAAAAAATTACTTTGACTTGTGCCTTAAACAATACACAGTGAAAAACCAGGCACTGAACTGTGACCAAAGAAAAATAATTCACAATAAATATTTAGGTTTAAAAATTAAATTGCCATACCCAGATTTCTACGCTATGAAATATGTGATCTGAGTCCTACATGCATTCCATAGGTTATATGTGTCTCCTTGTACATTCAACATGACGAGTCATTTTAGGCCCAAAGGAAGCAATAGTAGATAAAAGTCAAAGGAAAAAAGTGATCAAATTATTTTACCATGAAAAATGATCTAGCCTTGGCAGTTACAACACTTCTCATTTCTAAACCTAGAGTTTATTTATTAGAGATCTTTTACTTTTCTCCATTTTCCCCCTAGGGTAGTAGTGAGTTACTATAAACCTGTCAGTAAACAAAGGGCATGAATTATATACATGAGTTCTTTTTTTTTTTTAAAGAAAAATGTATCATTTTTGCAGGGTAGGAGGGGTTCCTTCCCCATCTCACATTAAGATATGAATTTTATTGACATTACCCTTAACCCGCAAACATACAAGTGTTAAACTGCCATGGATTTTGTATTCTTGTCTATCTCCTTTCATGGCTATTGGGTACTATTAATAAATAAGGAAGGACCAGCAGACGTGTAGTGGTTGTGTTGCTAGACTCCCCGTAGTTTCCCACATAGTTGAAAATGGTTCGAGTCCCGGATCTGGTGGCTTAAAACTCATGCTCAGCACCTGTGCGAGTGTGCCCAAAATCCTGAGAGGAGAATGGAAGAGAAAGGACTGCTGGGTGTCCATCCCCCCCTAGGGAGTGATTTCTCACTTTCTGTCTCTCGGGCGTGCACACTAGCCCTACAGCAAAAATCTCTCTAAAAAAAAATAATAATAAGAGGGAAAAATGTGTCTTGTAACAGACACAGCTGACAGATATACTTGCAACAAAAAAAATTGATAACAATCAGTTTTAAATGCTTCCTACAGCAATCTAGAATGTCTGTCTCAAGTTACATTCCCCTTCCAGGAAGTCCACTGAAGCAAAGATACACTAGGTCCAGTGGCGAGGAGAAATTCACTGTATTTCTCACCCTATTCTACCCCAAACCAACAACTGCTGAAAATAAATTCTTTTAATACCGTAAATATTCTTTTAGCACTATTTCAACACTATTTTTCAACCCACTAAGTGATGCAGTGGTGCTTGTGACACAGGATCAAGAAAAAAAAAAGTTTATGTCCAAGACATTAAAAAAAAAAGACCAATATAAATAAACTAACAAACAAGGCAGGCATTCATACAATATGTTCACCTTATTTTCATCAAACGGTACAGTTAGTTCTGTGCAGTGAATCCTTCATATTTAGACTCCTAATTCAACATTTAAATCTTAGGCCCAAATGCTTCTTTGATATTAAGTATTCTAACGATGTTTCCCCTCCCGGTAGCTTGCTCCTACTATCCTGACAAACACTGCTATCTTCAGACAATGTTTTAGAGATTTTCCTTTTTTATACCCTATGCATTTCAACTGATAAATAATGCTTTCCCGTTTGTAACTGATTGACACTCTTTAATTCTGAGAAAATCGTTCAACTTGGTAAACAATGCTACTAAGCTACCACTTTTAAACTGTCATTTAAAAAGCAACCTTTAAACGCACCCCACCACCACTCCTGCAAATCATTTCAGTCCCTTTCTCAAAACTAGGGTTCATATATTTTATTGTATAAAATCTGCACAAAAAACCTGGGCAGCTCTCGGGGCAGTCTGCTCGGCCCTAGGACGGACCGCACGTTCTGGGGGAACAGCCCGATCCGAGGTGGAGGGAACCCCAGGAGACTCGCCTGACTTCTCCACCAGCTCCCGGACATCCTTCTTCTCTGGCAGCCCCGAGTAGCCCAGGCCCCGGCACTCCAGAATGGTCTTCAGCTTCTTGAAGCTCAGCGCCACGGGATCCACGAGCTGCGTGGCAAAGATGCCAGTTTCATACCACACAATGGCCTCGAAAAACCTGGCCAGGACGAAGAGGACCAGAAAATAGAGGAGCAAGAAAAACAGCTTCAGCCACATCTTCCCCGGCGGCTCCTCTCCTTGCAGAGAGCTCAGAATGTGGGCGCGGAGGGTCGAGGGCGGCGGAGCGTGGCCTGGGCGCCGGGGCGGGCAGTCTCAGGCCGCGGTGTCCCAGCAGCGGGCCATGCCCCGCGGGGAGGCAGGTGGATCTGTGTCCGCGCGGGTGCGAGGGAGACACCGGGAGGGCAGAGGCGCGGAGTCTCGCGTCCGGCCTTGCAGTCAGAAGGCGAGAAAAAGGGAGAGGAAATACTCAGAAACCCCCATCCATTAAACGCCGCAAGCGGAGGGCGCGGGAAGGGCCTGCGGGCAAGAACAAAATGAGGGCCGTTTCCCGCGGCGGAGTCTCGGGCCCCAGTGGCGGGGCCGGCCCTCGGGCGTCGGGACCCCAAGGGGGAGGAAGAGAGCGAAATGAACTGCGATCCACCAAGGCGGCGGGGGGCCTGGCGGCCGGCCCGGGGCACCGGGGCGGCGGCC